AGCTGGGACTACAGGCGCCCACAACCACACCTGCTTAATTTTTTTTTGTATTTTTAGTACAGACAGGGTTTCACCGTGTTAGCCAGGGTGGTCTCGATCTCCTGACCTCGTGATCCACCCGCCTCGGCCTCCCAAAGTGCTGGGATTACAGGCATGAGCCACTACGCCCGGCCTTGGGTGCAAATTTGAGCTTTCTCACTTATTAGTGTAAGACATGTAGATAATTTCTAAATCTTCCAAACCTCAGATTTCTCATCCATGAAGTAAGGATTATCATAGGGCTCACTAATAACATGGCTTCAAAAATATATAATGCCAAAATTGAGATCAAAATAATAAATCTACATTACATGGGGGATCTTAATGTACCTCTTATGTTATTGATAGACTAAGATGACCAACAAAATAAAAAGAGAGCAGTAAGGAGAGCAAACATTTAATCAATAGGACCGACACATTTTAATCAATAGGATCCTCATGAATAGATACAGAATACCAAACCTAACAACTGCAGAAAACACGCCAAACATTTAGGTACAGACATTGTGGGAAAATGCAATCTTAAAACGAGTGGACTGACATTCAGAAGATGTTAATCAGAGCACTAATGATGGGGATTGCAACCATCTTTACTGACTTCGAGAGCTTCTGACAGTAAACATGAAATCACATAATTTCTTCCACTTCCCTACTGTTTCTTGTTCTGGGCTGTGCCCTGCTTACTGTCTAATATCTTGGCCCCTTAAAAGTTGCTAATCTTCCAATCCTCATTCCTGTGACTGGGCCCCTGGTCCTTGTTCATGGGCCTTGTAGATACTGACTATGCTTATCTGGAGCATCCAGTGCCTACCCAGATTCCTCATTGCGCTCCTCCCACCTAATGGGATTTGCTCATACCTGTGTGGGACCCCTCCCATTTCCCCCAACTGAATACTTACCAAGACAATGCATTGCCGTACTCCCTTGGACTCTGCTTTGGGCATCAGACTGAATGTGTCCATTGAGCATCTGCAGCTGGATCAGTTTCCCCAGCATTATCCAACCCCTTGAGCATGGTTAGTCCTAAAGCAGAGAATTAGCCTTTCTATCCCTGCTGCTATACATGCCGGCACGAATCATAAGAAGTGACAGCATCTGATGACAATGCAGGCTGCAGGAAGCAGGAGGCAGGAATCAAATTGGTGCTTATCAAATAATGCTCCAATTCTTTGAACATTGGACTGTACAATATGTCACGGATCTATACCCAGCTGGGTTCCCTATTACTCACTCCACTGAGGCCACGTTGTGGGATTAGTTGTCCAAGAGGGAGTTTCGGCCTCACAGCATAGGGTCATTCTGAGAATTCCTAGCCCATACTTGTGTGGAGACCTCCAGAGAATAGAATCTGAGTTGGTGCTGAGTACCTCCAGGAGGAAAGGAGTGGCAGGAGGTGACACACTCGTCCTCAGGATGCCCAGCCCCACAGTCAGAGGGGAAGGGACAGAGCCACATGCATGAAGATCCTCTCCCCAGTACGTGCCAATGACAGGGCGCCCTGGCTTTTGGGCCAAGGAAACAACGTGGGAAGCAAAAAAGGACAATTTTCTCCTCCCTTTGCGTGAAGACCGAGCAGTTTTACCAGACTCCCAGGGTTCCCTTCCACTCTGGGTTGAATGTGAGTGACAGACATTCAGCTAGAACACTAGAAAAACTATTTCCTGAGCCACTCGCCTTTAGCCCTGGAAAGTGTTGGATTTGTCCTTCGTCTTTGTCACAGTAGAAACTGCTGAGAGATTCAGAACTCGGGCTTTGGAATTAGACAGACATGGGTAGAAATCTGAGCTCTCTCACTTATTAGTGTGGGACGTAGAGCAACCTTTAAAATCCTTCCAAACCTCAGACTTCTCATGCGTGATGTGAGGATTATAATAGAGCCCACCTAATAGGGGTTTTTGAGAATTAGAAATGTTATTAAATGAACAGCATTTAGTAAGATGCCTGACCACTGAAAATAACAAAGCGTTTATTATTGTTGTTATTATTAAACATCTTTTCTGCACCTTCTGACTGGGGACATCATGTCATCAGAAATACCTAAGATGGGACAAATTCCTCATGGGCTGGGCCAAGGGTGCAATAACGGAGGAGTGAAGAAGGAGGAAATGAAGGCAGAAAGTCCCCAGGAGCCCAGCATGGTACAGGCTGAGCTAGTGCTGCAGAGCCTCCCTGGAACAGCCACAGAGCTTGCATCTGGCCCTGGAAGAACCTCTTCCAGCTGGCGGGACCAGCCATAACAGTGGCCAGGGGATTTCCCAGGGCCACTGGGAATTCCTAGGAGTTCATTTGGACCAGGCCTGCCTAGACAGGGATTGTAACAGGGACCCTTCCCAACTGGCAGGTGATTTAGCCCTCAGTCAGAAGCTCAGGCATTTGTTTGATGGAAGGTGGAAGGCCCTGTGCTGGGCCAGTGACTGTCAGGGGTGGGTGGGTGGCTGGAAAATAGCAAATAAAACAATATGGTAACACAGTAACCACACACTATGTGAAGCTATAATATGGGTATCTGTGGTAGGCAATTCTGATGTAGAGAATAATTCTAAGGGGCCATTCTCCCCCCATGCCATATGCACACGGCCTCTGCCTGGGTTTCTCATTGTGGAATCTCTTCCTGGTCTCCTCATGCCCAGACAGAGGGAAGGACTCCTCCTGTAACACCGGCTCTCCTGCCACCTCCTCCCTGCAGCCCTCCTCAGCCTCCTCTGCAAAGGCTGACTTCCTCTCTGGTGCTGCAGCGCTCTGCACTCGTCAGTGGTACCTGCATACAGGTATTGGTGTCCTTGTCTCACCACCCTACATCACTGTGAGCTCTCCAGGAGCAGGCTCCCTGTCTGACTCACCTGTGATCCTCCACCTCCCACCCTGTAGTGCCCCAAGCATCAAGGACAATCACTGGCTGCCCCTTAACCCAGAAATGCTGCCGAGACAGGAGGCCATGGCCCAAGCCCCTGGAATGGGGTATTACTATGTCAGCACAAAGACCTTTGCACAAATGAAGGCTTTAAAAATGTAGTCCTAGTCACACAGAGGAGGGCTCATAGGATTCCCAGGAATCTGGAACATTCCCTTGAGAGTTTTCCCTGATCTCTGTTAAAAATCACATCCTATGGCTCAAATAACAACAAAAAAATGGGTGTAAATGATTGAAATAACTTGTGCATGGGGGAACAGGCACCCCTCCCCCAGAGCTGCCAGAAGCTTCAGGTGAGGGTCCCAAATGCCAAAATGTCTGGTATCAGAGAGGATGGCCAGTGACCTGTGGACACATGCTCTTTGCAGAGTCACCCAAGGAGCAGCAGCGTTGGCCCCACAAAGTGACCAGGACCCTGGCTTCCCACGCTGGGCAGGAGCTGTGTCTGATGAAGGGAATGCCTGGCAGCATGTGCTGTCCCTCTCCTCGTGTCAGCTTACCTGGCTTTGCTGGCAAGTGGCCACTTGAATTTCTTTAAAGGTGGAATCTCTCAGTGGGGTCTAATCTGTTCAGAAATATCAAAAGAGTATCCTTGGGAATGGATGGAATTCCAGAACCATCTGGTAATCCTCTTAAAACAACTCCTGGATGTCTCTCAGCACATCCGCCACTTTGAATGCAGGAGGCTGGTTCAAATGGAGGAGCATCGCTCTACTGCACCGTTTTATTTTCGGCCTAAAGGGCAAAAGGGGATACCTTTCATGTAAATAAATCAATTGCAAATGTCTAGTCATGCTGAGCCCTGTCTTGTGCTGTGGATACAAAGGAACCAAAGGCCTTTCTCCCCGCCCAACACACATATAACACACACACACAAAATCATAAAAACATACATACCCACAACACATACAACACACAACACACACACAAAATGTATACACACAACACACACCAAACATGCCCATAAACCTGTGTTCAGAGATAGATCCTGCCAGTGGGTTCGTGGTCTCGCTGACTTCAAGAAAGAAGCCGCAGACCTTTGCAGTGAGTGTTACAGCTCTTGAAGATGGCACGGACCCAAAGAGTGAGCAGTAGCAAGGTTTACTGTGAAGAGCAAAAGGAGGAAGCTTCCACAACCTGGAAGGGGACCCCAGCGGGTTGCTGCTGCTGGCTGGGGAGGCCAGCTTTTACTCACTTATTGGCCCCGTCCTTGTTCTGTTTCCATCCTATCAGAGTGCCCTTTTTTCAATCCTCCCTGTGATTGGCTACTTTTAGAATCCTGCTGATTGGTGCATTTTACAATCCTCTTGTAAGACAGAAAAGTTCCCCAAGTCCTCACTAGACCCAGGAAGTCCATCTGGCCTCGCCTCTCAACCCCATACATGACATGAAAATACATATGCACAAAACATGCACACACAAAGCATACATGCATCATGCATCTCCCCAAACACACACATACCACAGAAACATACACACGGGAACTCAGTTACCTGTCAAAAGTCTGAATGGTGATTGCCTCTGCAGTGAGTAGTTAGAAAAGTGAATTTTTTTTTTCAATAAATTGGAGTCCTTAAAAATCACTGTAAGATAGAAAATTTTAAAAAGTATATAAAATAAAATATGTATGTCCTTTGGCCTAGCATTTACACATGTAGGAATTTATCCTAGTGGACTAATCAACGATATATGCAAAGATTTGGACAAGCATATTAAGCACAGAATTATGTATGCATATATGTGTATATAGATATATATCTGATACATATAATAGCATAAAAGTGAAAATAACTCAAATGTTCAAAATTGAGGATTAAACTATGATCTGTCCATATGTGACATACAAGTTAGCTGCTCCTTATTCTCTCAAGCTTCAACCTCCTACAAACAAACAGTGTCCCTTGTATATCAGTATTGGTACAGATAATCGAACTTACTGAGGGTTTTATATGGGATAATAAAGGCAAAGGTTTATGAATACTCCATACTACACTATGTAGCAACCCCTATTACAGACAAACTCTTCTCTCTCATTTCCCTTCCTTTCCAGAACCACTTGGCTGAATCTCTACAAGTCTCTATTGCAACTACCACAATATGGCACCCTCCCCGCATCTCCATCTTCCCTGTCCTGAGAGCAAGGACCTGCTGCCCCCCTCGCTCACATCTTCATTCATTCCAGAAGTCAGCACCACAGAAGTGCCCACAGTTACCCCAACCACCTTCTTAGAAGATAAGTTAGTGTTTGTTTTGACTTTTTAAAATGTTTACTTCCTCTTTTCCTTCACAATCTCATCCCATCCCAAGAGGTTTATCAAGAAGTTCTCTAAAGCTATGTGTCTCCTTACTGGGAATTTAACCGACAAATCAGGGATTTTTATTCTAGCCATCAAGGGAATAACATTTTTCCAGGTCTTTAGACAAATAATGGAATACCTTGCAGTAATTAGATATACTATTGTAGAAAAGTATTGATGAAATGGAATGATGTTTGAGATATCATATTGAGTAGAAAAGTCAAGATACATTAAGTGGGAAATGTATCTTGCAAAATAATTTGTCAGACACATTCCTGTATTTGTATGTTACATAAATGTGTGTGTGAAGAAAGGCTACAAGATGAGACCACAGTCTTCAGTGAAGTTTAAGAGACGAGGCTGCAGCATGCTCAGAAAGCCCTGGGTTATAGTTTTTCCAGTAACTAAGGATGTGATCTTGGGTAAATTGTACATCCTCTTTAAACTGCGCTGCCTTTTGTCTGTAAAACAGGAAGGATGGTATTTACCCCCAGGGTCATCAAAGGATTTGGCTGGAGAAAAAGAAATAAATGGGCTGAGCCCAGACCTGGCACAGTGAGAGCATGGTGGTTGACTATTGTGCTGGCCTGTTGTTCCTGTGTTATTGACATGCTGCTGCTGGTGGTCCAGAAGCTATTACCTTAATTGGTTATGTGGATTTCCCTTCATACTGACCAGCTGTGTGTGGCATTGTAAAACATAGCCATACATAGTAACTGACAAGGGCAAATACAATGGAAAAATGCAAGGAAATGCAGGTAAATAGCTAATGGGCTGTAGAAGGAAGCTAGTCCTTGGAGGGCTTGATCAAGGAAGGTTCCTTTGCATGTCACCTTTGAAGAAGACGGGACACAGAAGAGGTATAGGGCACTGTCAGTGCGTCCTGGAGTGTACCTGGAAGGGGACATGAAAGAAGAACATTTTTCTCTGGTGTGGGGAAAAGAAAAAGAGATCAGCCTGTTACTGTGTCTATATAGAAAGAAGTAGACATAAGCGACTCCATTTTGTTCTGTATTTGAGATGCTGTTAATCTGTGACCCTACCCCCAACCTTGTCCTTGCAAGAGATATGTGCTGCAGTGACTCAGGTTTAATGGATTTTGGGCTGTGCAGGATGTGTCTTTGTTAAACAAGTGCCTGAAGGCAGCTTGCTGGTTAAAAGTCATCACCATTCTCTTAATTTCAACTACCCAGGGACACGTACACGGCCAAAGGTCGTAGGGTCCTCTGCCTAGGAAAGCTAGGTATTGTCCAAGGTTTCTCCCCATGTGATAGGCTGAAACAATGCTGCTAAAAGGTTTGTGGAGATGTTTGCATATGCATCTCAAGGCACAGCATTTTCCTTTAAACTTATTCATGTCGCAGAGATTTTTGTTCATATGTCTTACTGCTGATTTCCTCCCTACAATGATCCTATTGTCCTGCCACTCCCTTATCTTTAAGATGGTAAAGATAATTATCAATATTATACCTGATGTAAATGACGAGTTGATGGGTGCAGCACACCAACATGGCACAAGTATACATATGTAACAAACCTGCACGTTATGCACATGTACCCTACAACTTAAAGTATAATAATAATAAATAAATTTAAAAAAAAAGATAATTATCAATAAATACTAAGGGAACTCAGAGATCAGTGCGGCGTGGGTCCTCTGTAAGCTGAGCGCCGGTCCCCTGGCCCCACTTTTTCTTTCTCTATACTTTGTCTCTGTGTCTCCTTTCTTTTCTCAAGTCTCTCATTCCACCTAATGAGAAACACCCACAGGTGTGGAGGGGCAGGCCACCCCTTCACTCTGGGACCTGGGGACTCCACTTGCATGAACTTTGGGATTGGGGCAAAGAACCATCATGAGAACAAGGGCTTCCTTGAACCTCCCAGGCTCATTGGCTGATCTAAACCCTGTGTACCCTCTTTTCTTCACTCTCCTCTGTTTTCTATACCTCTGTTATTGGACTGGACTGGAAGCCACCTGATCTATCACAAGTGCCTTGAAATGTGTTGAATGGGTGTGGCACAGTCCTTAGCAGAGTGGCACTACCCCCACAGGAATTTGTTTATACCCTTGGCATGGAAAATAGCAGGAAATGAGTGATGACTGATAACCGAGGATGCTATTTATTATTGGCTAAAGGAATACTGTGTTGTATTTGCATAGCCACTCACATGAGTTCCAGACCTAGCTCCTTCAGGTAAAGGATCCTGAGAACTGAAGGCAAACAGAGCTCCAGAAGTCCAAGACAGAGCCACAGACCACGAGGATCCCTGGCCCAGGTAGGTGGTCCTCCTGTGCTCGCTTTCAAGACCAACAGGCATGGATGGGGAAGTAGAGTAGCATCTGGCCATCTCGACCCTTGCTTTTTATCTCCACTGGAAGCACATCTGAATTTCTAAATATGATCTCGGAGACCTGCCCAGAACACCTTGCTCTCAGCCCCAGTAGCAGCCTGCTGTCTCCCAGGAGGGCTTCCGCCAACAAGTAGGGCATTGCTGGAGGGCCAGGCAGACACTAGCTTAGGAAACCCGCAAACCCTGGAAATGCTGCTAGTCCCTTCTCTGAAGGCTCAGGAGACTGACTTCAGAGTCTAGAAAATATTGGTCCTTGGGAACAGATTTTGAGTGCAAAGAGATGGATTTCAGATGGCCAGGTGCACTGCTTCTTTAGGGAGTTCTGTGAAAGCTCCCTGCATTTATCTTAATACAGGCAGCCGATTTCATGAGTACCTCCCAGGGATGACCCCAGGTCCTCCAGCCTGTAAGCATCCTTCTGTCCTTGAGCAGCACCACAGTATCTTTATCTTTGGATACCTGCATTTCTGTCAGACATCTCTTGCTCTGATGTTCTGGCTGCCACATTCTCAGTCAAGTGCCTCCAATTTTTTGTGTCCTTTGATTTACCCCAACATGACAAAGGCAGTTGTGCTTCATGGATCCAGGGATATTGCCAAACCACAAGCAAATAGCAGATATCCCCGTCCTTAAAGACGCATCAGCTCTACCCACTTGCTCCTGCTCACCGTCCTTATTGTTGAGTCCTGAAGCCCTTCCTTGTCTTTTTTTTTTTGCATGAACAATTTTGTTCCCTTTGTCTCGCTCCTAAACCATTCTCGAAGGATTGGGTTTGTACACAAACTGCCTATCTCTGCAATCTTAGAAGTAATATGATCCTGAACAAGTCACTTAACTTCAGATTTTTTATCTGTAAGATGAGAATACCAATTTTTGCTCTACTTCTGTCCTATGTGGGCCGGGGCTGATGTTGTGGAAAGCTCTTTGTCAACTGAGATAGGGTGTGCAGAATTTGTATATATAAATATATCTCCTCCAACCCCTCCCAATGAAGCAAGTCATGTGAGTCAATCCTATTCTAAGATATTAGGGATTGGGCCTCCTGGGACCTTTAGTGGCTTAGGTTTTCATGAAAAGAGGTTGCAGAGCAACTGCTTTTTGTTAGGCAAAGATCAGGCTACTGCAGAGACTCAGCAAACTTTTATAGAAGGTGTCAGATGGTAAGTACTTTAGGCTTTGCTGGCCAGGTGATCTCTCAACTACTAAACCATGCTATTGTAGCCTCAGAGCAGCCACAGACAATATGTAAACAAGAGCATGGCTGTGTTTCAATAAAACTTTATTTAAAAAAACAGTCAGGGACCAGATTTGGCCAAGGGCCATAGTGTGCCAGCCCCAAGACTAGAGCAATGCACTTTTAACTTTTTTTATTTTATTTTTATAAAATGCCGAGATCCACAAAAATGCTACTGCACCCTGTGTGTTAGCACTGTGACTCACAGTTCGGAAAATTCTGCTTTGAAGGAGTGACAGGCAGGAGAGCATGGTCTGGCCCCTTGGGGCCTTTCTGGTTGCAGCAAGCATTTCTAACTAGAGAGCAAGGCCAGTGGTATGTTCAGCACCAGGGACATCCAGCAAGGTGTCCTGGGGTCAGAAGATGCCATAACTGGTCCCCTTTCTATCTCCTTAGGCCTTGGACTTCATTCCATTTTCTGATGAGTAATAACTCAACGTTGAAAATGTCCTTTGTGGGGGAGAACTCAGGAGTGAAAATGGGCTCTGAAGACTGGGAAAAAGATGAACCCCAGTGCTACTCAGAAAAAGATGAACCCCAGTGCTACTCAGACAAAGATGAACCCCAGTGCTACTCAGAAGGTAAGGTTCTTGTAGAAGTCCACCTCAGGGCCAAAGTGTAATTCCTAGAGCAGGACTTTGCTAGGTGCTGTGCACAGACCCAGCTGTTTCCTGCGGACCATGCACAGTAAGTGAGCTTTCAAACTTCCCTGGACAAATAACTAGACAAGAGAAATTCTGGAAGGGAAAAGGAAGCTTTGCTTCAGTGTCCAGGCACATAAGGTGGCAGATAAAAGGATCGTCCTCACCTACAGATTTGGGGCTTTAGCATCCTGTTTGCCAACTGGATGGCTGCATATCCTTCAAAATGCATCTCTTCCCTCCCAGCCTTCCCAAGTGGAAGAGAAACCTCTGATGAGAAGCGACTCTCTGAGGCTGGGTTGAAAAAATGACCCAGGCACAGGGCATCTGAGTACTCCATGAGGAATGCAGTTGGGTGCTGCCCTTGGGGGACAATAGGAGGACGCTTTTGACCCAATAACTGTCTACTGAGGTGTGAAGGGAGAGGCCTGTAGCATGCCAGAGGCCAAACCCCTGAGCCAATTCATCTCTATTCTATGTTTCTGAAGAGGGAAGCTATGATTTAATGTCATTACTATCATGCTGCTGTAGTATTTCTCAGCACATACACAGAAGAGGGAATTACATGGTCCTTGATACCCCTAAATCCTTGGAAAATCCCAATTGCATATGCTAACCTCACTGTGTCTGACTGCAGACCCGGCTGGAAGTCCCCTGGAGCCAGGCCCAAGCTTCCCCTCCATGAATTTTGCTCACACAAGTAAGGTTGCAGGGTGAGGTGATGGGGGTGGCTGAGGTGCGAGGGTGGGGATGGGGGATGGTGCCATTGGACCCTCTTAGAGGGTGGGAGAATTGTAGACTGGGGACACCTAAGGGTGCTGGATGGGGCTGAAGTCTTTCCTTTGTGGAAGCAAATCCCATCAGGAGAGAATTCTGGGAAAGATGAGCCCGGGGAGGGGCAGGTGATGCTCACCTGCTAAGAGGCCCAGGGCAAGGAAGAGTTTGTGCCTGGGAACCTTCCAGATGCCTCTTCTGATCATAGTCAAGAGACTGGAGACACAGACCTCCTCCCAACACTGATGACAAACAGCCATGTGGCCGGTGGGGGTGCAGGGGCACCCACACCCCTAAGGGCTCAGGGCGGCGCTTTCGGAGACTGAACCTTCCTCTCATGCTGCCATTTGAATACCACAACACCGCAGGAGGAAACTGTTAACATTACCACTGTTCAGGCGTGGAAACCGAGACGGACAGCGGAGATTCCCTGCCCCAGGTGACACAGGTAGTCAGTGACAGATGTGGAAATTTAAAGGTACTATAACATCTGTCTGCTTGACTCAGGCTTAAGGCTCCCATCACCTCCTCTTCTCAGGAAAGAGTCGGGAGACCTCAGTCTGAGCCCCAGCTCTAGTGCAGGTGGATGCATGAATACCGAGCCTCACTGGTAAAGTGGCAGAGAGGACAAGTGGGACCAGGGGTGTAAGGGCGCCTGGCACAGTAGGGGGAGGCTGCTGTCACTGCTCCGCTGCTGCTGCTGCAGTTACCTTTGATGTTTTGGTTTTGTTGTAGTTACACCATTGCTGGCTTTGGCTCTGCACTGTGTCCACTTCAGGTGGAACCAAGTGCACGAGCCTCTCTGTCGGGCCTGTCCTGACTTCTCCTTGTCAGGACTGGGATGTCCTTCAAATCTGGGAGAAGTGGTTCTTCAAGTCTGGTCCTCAAATGTCAGCAACATCAGCTCCTAGAAGTGTTAGGAATACAGATTCCCAGGCCCCACCAGCGACCTCCTGCATCAGAAACTCAGGGGGCTGAGGCTCTGGGGGCTGCTTCAACAAGCCTTCCAGGTTGTCGTGATGCGTCTTGAAAGTCTGAGAGCTACTGCCCTGCAGAAAATTACTAGTGCCTTAAAGCTGGCGCTGGCACTGATGTTACTGCTGCTGTTGGAGTACAACTTCCCTACAGAAAACAACTACCAGCACCTTGAAACCACTCACACCTTCAGAGTGGCCTTGAGAAAGATTTGGGGTCAAGGATCATGAGCAAGAACACCAATTCAGAGGACAGTGAACTGGTCTGCATGTGAGACGCTGAGATCCTATGTCAGACTGTGATAGAAACAAAAGGAAGGAAAAGCTTTAAGAAGCACTTAAGAGGTACAAAGTAAAATGATAGTGCTAGAAAAGGAGCTTCTTAAAAGTAGCATTTTCCAGTCTCACCCTGGACTAAGTGAATGAGAATCTCAGGAGTGTGAGGCCCAGGTATCCATGGTCTTAAAACACCACCCACCAGGTGATTCCCAGTGTGCACCAGGGTTGAGAGCCACAGCCTGAGGCCGTGCCACTCAAAGGGTGTCCTCAGACCAGCAGCACCCACAGCTCTGAGAGCGCATTCAGAAAAGCAGAGCCTTGGCACCACCCCCACCTCCTGAACCATAGTTTGCAGGTGATTTCTTGCACATTAAAGTGTGGGAAATGGAAAGGCTTAGAGTTCAGCTAGCTCAGTGACTCTCAGTCAACCTGCACCTGCCCCATGAACTCAGACTGTCTGGGGTGGGCCCAGAAAAGCTCCCAAGGAGATTCTGATGGAAGGCAGGGGTGAGAACCATGGATCTCATCTGACCCCATATCACTGGGGAGTTACTTAGGATCATGCCTGGGGCCAGCCATCTCTTCGATAGACACTGAGAGTGTCCTCGATGCTTGCGGCACTACAGGGTGGGAGGTGGAGGATCACAGGTGAGTCAGACAGGGAGCCTGCTCCTGGAGAGCTCACAGTGATGTAGGGTGGTGAGACAAGGACACCAATACCTGTATGCAGGTACCACTGACGAGTGCAGAGCACTGCAGCACCAGAGAGGAAGTTGACCTGTGCAGAGGGGGCTGAGGAGGGCTGCAGGGAGGAGGTGGCAGGAGAGCCGGTGTTATAGGAGGAGTCCTTCCCTCTGTCTGGGCATGAGGAGACCAGGAAGAGATTCCACAATGAGAAACCCAGGCAGAGGCCGTGTGCATATGGCATGGGGGGACAATGGCCCCTTAGAATTATTCTCTACATCAGAATTGCCTACCACAGATACCCATATTAAAGCTTCGCGTAGTGTGTGGTTACTGTGTTGTCATATTGTCACATTTGCCATTTTCCAGCCACCCACCCATTCTTGACAGTCACTGGCCCAGCCTGGGGGCCCCTGCCCTTTATCAAACAAGTGCCTGAGCTATTTGTGGAGGTGAGGGTCACCTGTCCAATCAGAGGCCAGGAGGGAAGGTTCCCTTTTAAGACCCTACTCTAGGCAGACCTGGCCCAAATGAGTTGCTAGGAGCCCATGCCCTAAGAACCCTCTGAGGACTGTTGTGGCTGGTCCTCCTGCTAGAAGTCCTTCCTCCAGGGCCAGGTGCAAGATTTGTGGCTTTTCAAAGGAGCCGCTAAAGCCCAACCTTGCACTGTGCTGGGCTCCTGGAGGCTTCCTGCCTCCAACCCTCCCAACTCTCCCATCACTGCTCCCTTAGACTGGCCAGTGCAGGGATCTATCCCACTCCAGGCACTGCTGATGGAATGATGCCTCCAATCAGAGGGTGCAAAAAAGAGAGTTAAGAAAAACAATGATTATAAAGAGTCCTTTTTATATGTAAGACATTTTCTTTGCTCAGGCTAAGTGCTACTTATTTGAGTAAGCATTTTAGTTCTCATAACTCCTCTCTCAAGTTGGTGCTGTTATTACTCTCATTTCACAGATGAGGACATTGAGGTTTGGAGGGATTTAGTAACTTGTCCTCTGTCCTACAGCAGAGCTTGGATTTGAATCCATCTGTCCAAATCTGGAACCCATGTGCTTGCACAGAATGCTAAATTGCTTGTCCCAGCGAGATAGAAAGCCCAGGAGTGGAAGAAATATTCAGTGGCTGTGCTGTCTGAGCCCACAGGCAGGGTGGAGAGCTGAGGCTGGGGCCCTTGGATGTGGGGAAGAGAAGACTGAGTCTTTCATTTTCGATGTGAAGTGTTGATATCTGGTGATATTGATCTAGGTCCAAAGGTGAAGAACTTAAACCCGAAGAAATTCAGCATTCACGACCGGGATCACAAAGTACTGGTCGTGGACTCTGGGAATCTCATAGCAGTTCCAGATAAAAACTACATACGCCCAGGTGACTCTCAGTTTTGGCTGTGTTTTCTGTCCCCACCCAGCAGGGGTAAGGCCTCCCTCCAGGTGGGCTCAGCTCCGTGCTATACAATACCCCATCTCCAGCAGGTGGTGGAAGCGGGGAGGAGAGGCCCCAGGAACTAGGGCATCAGAGGAAGGGTCTCTAGCGATGACCAGATCTGAAAGGAGTCTTTCTGGAAGGGTGGGAAAAATGGAGGCAGACACTTAGGTTGGAAGAAGAGGAAGCTTAAACCAGTGTGATGGAGGGAGATGTGGGCCACAGAGTCAAGGGGAGAGGGGCTGCGCACCAGACCTGAAACCCCAGCAGACAGGAGGGACCTTTCCCTGCTCTCAGAATCCACACATGTTCTGACTGTCTTTTTCCAGAGATCTTCTTTTTGTTAGCCTCATCCTTGAGCTCAGCCTCTGCGGAGAAAGGAAGTCCGATTCTCTTGGGGGTCTCTAAAGGGGAGTTTTGTCTCTCCTGTGACAAGGATAAAGGACAAAGTCATCCATCCCTTCAGTTGAAGGTGAGAATTCTAGCTCAAATACCTGTGCCTTTGGCTACTCCGAAGTAAAAGGCCAAGATCCTCAATGCCTCTCGTTTTTCTGCAAATTCTTATCTTGGCCAATATTACAGGGACATCCACCTTTCTGGAAGCACTAGGCAGAAGAGTCCCATACCTTCTTCTCTGGTTCCTTGCCCCTTCTAGGGAAGGAGGGACTCCACACAGCGGGGAGACAAGGAGGAACTGAGCACCCATTCTCTTCTCCTGGGCTCACAGGCCCTGGCCCTGGGCGGGCGGCGCCCCCCTCCTGCTGGGGCCCTCCATGTGGCAAGCAGCACAATTGGGTCAGGACCCTGGTGTGCTGCTGCGGGGCAGGAGGGTGTGAGGGAGCACTCGGAGGGCAGTGTGCCTGCTCTGCAAATTTAGTCCGGCATGGAGCATCCTTTCACTTGAGGGGAGAAATCTTAGGAAGCTCAACTGGATATAGATCTAGGCCATCTTCTCTAAATGAACTTCAAAAACTATAGAGCTGAGATTTTGGTGTCCATCTGACTCTTACATCTCTCTGTTTGTCTCAATGTATGTTTAATTTGGGGGACAAGAGGGTATGGAAAAGAAGGCATGATTGCTTCTCATCCCTTAAATACCAGTACCAAGGCTGACACATCATCTTCCCCAAGGACCATCTGCCTTCTCTCTTCTCTTCCTCTCCTGTGTGAAGGCCTGGAGGATGAGCACATGTGCTGGGTTTTTCTCCCTCTCAAAGCCTGCGCTGTCTAATTAATCCCTTTTACCTCACAGAAGAAGAAACTGATGAAGCTGGCTGCCCTAAAGGAATCAGCACGCCGGCCCTTCATCTTTTATAGGGCTCAGGTGGGCTCCCGGAACACGCTGGAGTCGGCAGCTCACCCCGGATGGTTCATCTGCACCTCCTGCAATTGTAATGAACCTGTTGCAGTGACAGACAAATTTGAGAACAGGAAACACATTGAATTTTCATTTCAACCAGTTTGCAAAGCTGAAATGAGCCCCAGTGAGGTCAGCGATTAGGAAACTGCCCCATCAAATGCCTTCCTTGCTAATCCGAACTAGTTACATAAAACACAAAATCTGCTCACTAACATTTATGTCAGTGGGTGTCATTTCTTATTCATACTTTAAGGATTTTTGTTTTTAGAATACAGCAAGAAGCTTGTTTAATTACAAAGTTCTGGGTTGGAAAGAGACCAGCTTCTGTTTGTGTACTGCTATCCTGAACCATCAGACATCCACGTGTGTGTCATATGCTATGATGTGGCCAGTCTGAGTGCGATACTTGCAGCAGGAAGGAGCAGCTGGGTGCATGCTGTGCTCTAGAATTAGTCCTTCCACTGGGGTTTGGTAAGTTCTGAGGGCATTGATCCTGGGGCAGAAGTGGCTGAGTCTGTGTCTAGGGTACAGTGTGTAAGAAAGAAATGTAACAGCAAGTCACGATCCAGCCAAGTGATAACGGAAAAGGGGTAGTTGGGTCCCAGATAAAGAGCAGGGTGACCTGACCTGTGGAAAAGACACAGAGACAAGGAATCTGGCTCAGATGATAGCCAGGAGACCAGGTGAGCAGCCAGTTAGTGTCTGGGAGGCCTGTCAACAGGGCATGGTCCTATCACTAAGCAGGGCTCAGATCCTCATAATGGGGGAGAGGAAGGCTGGTCGTACAGAAATCAGGGCCTGGAAGCAGAATGAGGGGGTGGATATAGGGGATGGAGGCCTGGAAATTAGTTTATTACTTTTAGCTCTTCAGTTACAAGCAATAATAATCACTTCTAGCTTATTTAAACAAAAAGTATACTATGAAAGGAGCTTTCTAGAAGGATATTGGGTATATTCATTTCTTAGTGCTGCTGTAACAAATTACCACCAACTTTGTGGTTTAAACAATACAATGTATTATCTTACAATTATGGAGGTCAGTCTGGAATGTGTCTCACTGGGCCAAAATAAAAGAACTAGCAGGATTGCAATGCTTCGGGGGGCTCTAGGGGACAGTCAATTTCCTTGCCTCTTCCAGCTTCCAGAGGCCACCTGCGTTCCTTAGCTAGTGGCCCACTCCCATCTTCACTGCTTGGGTTTTTCTCACACTGCTTTACTCTGACCCTCCTGACTTCTTCTTTCACATATAATAACGCTTGCAGTTTACACCAGGCCCACCTCAATATGCAGGATACTCTCACATCTCAAAGAAGCTTAACTTTAATCACAGATGCAAAGTCCCTTTGCTGTGTAAGGTAACATATTCACAGGATGTGGGGATTAGAATGTCCACATTTTTGGGGTGCCATTATTCTGCCTATCATGTGAAGTAACTTTCAAAATGGAAAGACATGCTGAAGAACAAGTCAGGGATTTCTGGCAGGCCAAAAATGACAGAAGCCAGAAAACGTTGGTCCCCTCACTCAGATGGGTAAGAGCCAATCATGTTTTTTGTCAGTTAGCAAAAGATTGAGATTCCAGACGAATCATGTGACTGCCCTAGTCATGTATGAACTCCTTGGTCAGTGAAGGGCAGCACACCTTGATCAACACTCCCTACAAGACTGTATCCAATGAGGCCAGTGATGTTCCTCAAAGCAGAGCTGGAGAGCTAATCCCAGGGGAGAGGCGTGTTGGTGGTGGGCAGGCAGACAAAGCTTAGCCATAAAGGAGGAGTAGGGACAGCACCCCAGGCACGGAGGCTCAAGTGAGATGACACCCATGGGAAGCTCTGACAAGGTCAGCGGCTTCTGTTTCTGAATCTAATGATGATGGTGATCAACACCAGCCCAGTGACAAAAAAGTACATAGTATATTTAGTAGATATTCCCAACACAGAGAAATGGTAAATATTCAAGGCGATGAATACTCCAAACATTCTACCTTGATCATTACACATTCAGTGCATGTAATGAATACTTGCATGTATGCCATAAATAGGTGAAATATTACATATGTATATAAAAGAAAAACATGTGGCCAGGTGACACCGATACTTTGGAGAGGAAGGCATGTCTTCTTCATAATATACAAAACTATTTTCACGACAAAGACACAGCTATTCAAATTAGTCTCTGAGCCAGGGCTGTCTCATGGCAGTGAGGACTCTGGTTCCCTTGCAGACTAGCAGAAAGAAGATGGGGCTTACTGACCATGACCTTGAGGAGGCTGAACATGCAGGACAAATGGAGACACAGACAGCCTGGGCTTGGTCCTGCTCCATCCCCTTCCAACCTGGTGACATATAGCGAGTCACTCTGGCATGGGTCACTCATGCTTCCTGTGAGGTTCCACCAAGGTAGCGAATGCATCAACACCTTAGTGAAGCACAAGGCCCTCTGTACTGTTGACTTCACGAAAGGCATGGTTGTGGTGATCACATATGTGTGTGCTATGCCATTGAATGCTGGAAACTTTTCTCACCCCAGCACTACCGACTCCCCTTTACCCAGTCTTATTGTTCTCACTGTAACACCCTATATAGTTTGCTTCTTACATTTATTGTTTGTGTCTCCCACTAGCATGTAAGTCCCACAAGTGCTTTGCTCTGTGATGTATGCCAAGAAACCACTGCAGCGCTTGGCACTTGTAGGAACTCCATAAGATTTTTATAAATGAAGAAAGGAAAAAAAAAAAAAAAAAAGAGGGAGGGAGAAAGGAAAGGAAGGCTTCTATTTAAATGATGGCCTTCTCCTTATTTCTATAGTAATATGACTTCCACTGCAAAGTAGATGCATTTTGGAAAAAGTGTATAAATAAACTCAGGTGGTTTTGAATTTCATTTTCCTAACTGTAATTGTAATCATGGATCTTTATGTTTAGTGAAAAAGTTTTGGCCCTTATGCCTTACACCTGAGAATCCCAAAGTATTGGTTTGTTAGGGCTCCCATAAAGAACCATAAACTGGGTGGCTTACAACAACAGAAATTTATTGTCTCCTGGCTCGGGAGGCCAAAGTCTGAACTCCAGGTGTTGATTCATTCTGAGAGCTCTGAGAGAGAATCTGTTCCAAGCCTCCCTTCAGTTTGTGGTAGCTCCAGAGTTCCTCGGCTGGTGGCAGCAAAACTCCAGCCTCTGCTCCCATCTTCACATGTCTGTCTTCTCTCTGTGTTTCTGTGTCCAGATTGTCCTATAAGGACAGAGTCATACTGAATTAGGGCTCGCTCGAATGACTTCATCTTAAGTTGATCTGTATCTGTAAAGACCTTATTTCCAAGTAAGGTCACATTCACAGCTACTGGGGGGTAGGGGGGGTAGGACCTCAACATATCTTTTTGGGGGACATAATTCAACTCATAATATCCAACGTGATAACTGTTCATCTCATGAAATTTAATCTCTCGCAAAAGGTGATCTCAGGGCATTTAATCTGCGGCAGAAACTCCCATAGGAAACATTCCAACCAGAGGCTCCTTTCACAGCTGGTCACTCCTCCTACCCCATCCGAGGTCCTGGGGCCGAGTGAGGCAGGTGGGGACAAGAGGAAGGCTGTCTTGGGAGTAGAAAGAGAGGACCTTATTCACTCGGCCCTCTGTTCGTGAATGAGCTACCCAGCATAGGATATAACAAATAGCTTTAGGAGTGGTAGACTCCCAACATTTTTTTGATCCCAATTATCCTAATCAATTAAACAAAGTCTAGAACATGTCTTGAAATGCGGGCATTGGTACATTATGAAACTTACACAGAATTTAAAAACTTACAAGGACTAAATAAAATAGGAACTGACATCTAATATTTTCTTCCCACATTCCCACGCACTGTCTGGCTCAACCAACCCCAGCCCTCAGTCTCATCCTGGTGGACACATGCCTAGTGATGTGATCAGCTGGTTCTCAGGGGGCTGGTGAAGGTGGGTATACAGCTTTTGCCAATTTCCATGGCATAACTACTCCAAATATGGCTAATTTCAAACTACCAACGTGAAGGCACAGACACAGAGTTTGGAAGAGATGTTAAGAATTGGCTATTGCAAGCTGATATAAGCTAGCTCCAGCACACCACCACCGCCACCTTTGAGCTCCTTGTGTTAGTACAGGGGTTGGTAAACTGCAGCCTAAAGGCCAAATACAGCTTGTTGCCTGTTTTGTGTATTTGGCAACACAGCCATGCTGTCTATGGCCTTCTTGTTTTTTTTTTTTTTTTTTTTTTTTTTGCCATGCTGTCTATAGCTCGCTTTTTTTTTTTTTTTTTTTTTTTTTTGAGACGGAGTCTCGCTCTGCTCGCCCAGGCTGGGAGTGCAGTGGCGACCTCGCTCACTGCAAGCTCCGCCTCCCGGGTTCACGCCATTCTCCTACCTCAGCCTCCCCAGTAGCTGGGACTACAGGCGCCCGCCACTGCGCCCGGCTAATTTTTTTCTATTTTTTAGTAGAGACGGGGTTTCACCATGGTCTCGATCTCCTGACCTTGTGATCCACCCGCCTCGGCCTCCCAAAGTGCTGGGATTACAGGCGTGAGCCACCGCGCCCGGCCTGGCCTTCTTTGTACTGTAACAACAGAGCATGTGGCAGGATATATAGAATCTGGCACTCTATGAAAAGTGCTGACTCCTGCTCCACAGGAGAAGAGACCACAGATTGGCTTCAGCTTCCAAACATTCATCCCTGAGTCAGTCTAGAGCCTGAAATTTAGAGCCTGAAGCACAGTCTCCACCAGAGGGCTGAAATGCGTGATAGTTGGGGTTTCCACCTCTCACCGAAAAGCCTACTCAATTTTTTACTGCAAAAACATGCTATCATCGTTATTTTTTACTGAGCCCACCTTTCCTTGGCAATTTTCCATAGGAAATTGCATTCTAAAGTTCAACTAATCAGGAGACTTGGAGCCTCTGGACACCCCCTTGTTCCTTGCCCGCAGTCCCTGGCAGAAGGTGCTTTATCAGAGAGGCTCCACGCAGGGGCTCAGGACAGGATCAGAGGTCAGTTGCACCAAGGGGGCAGGGACAGCAGAGGGGACTGTTCAGTACATTGTCATGGTCCTGGTGATTTCTGGTCCATGAGGGAATTTTCACATGCATTGGGTGTTTGACAATCACCAATTGAGGGAGAATTTGTGTGCTCATTTTATAGGTGAGGAAACAGACGTAGAGACGTCAAGTAACTTTACTACAGTCATGTGGCTTTTAAGTGGCAGGCTTTCAGGTGTTGTGACTCCTAGTCCAGAGTTCTTTGCACTGCCCCTGAGGTGCTAAAACTCTGCTGTGCTATAAGACTCACTCGAGGGAGCTTCCTAAAAAGAGAGACTGCACAACCTGAGATTCTTGTTTAACTGTTTTGGGATGTAGCTCAGGGATTTAGCTGCCTTAAAAAAAAAAAACCTCCCAAGTAATTCTGATGCAAATGGTTCTTTCTTGTTGACCCTTTGAAGAAACACTGCCTCCTCCCCATACTTTCATTAGAAAATGGTAACATGTTTTTCAGCCTGAGAGCCATTTCTGGGTGACTAGCCCACACTGGGTGACTGGACATTGGCAGCCCGCTGTACTAGCTTTCAGTCTAGGCTTAAACACACATGATAGGAGATGTCCTACTCCAGATGATATGAGTCTGAACCATGGAAAAATTCCGTCGTATGGCACACCTGGTGGCTGTGCACTGTCCCCAGCAGTGAGGCACCCAGCGAAGACAGCAGCTGGGAGAGGCTTATTTACACGCAGTGGGACAGTGTGGGCTAGACTGCTGAGCCCTCTGCAGTTTACTCTGTGTCAGGCAATGAGGGTGAAAGGCTGAGCAGACCCAGGTGCAGACCATACCCTCCAGGGAGACAGATATCAGTCAGGCCAACCCCAACTGTAGATGGAGAAGCAGTGCCCAGGCATGACCGGGGGTGTATCCAACCAGGAAATCTACATATAAACATAAGAGGAGAAAATGAATAGATGTTGCTCTTATATTTATATGTAGATATTTATGAAGAGCGTATAATTTTGCTTTGTGTGTTTTAAGAAGTGTATAAGTATGCCTTAAAAATGTTTAGTACATACTGTATGTATCGTTTCCATTAGGTATTTTGTTTTTCATACTTATCCACATTGACATTGTAGCAACAGGATAACACAACAACCCCCTCTACAAAAGCAGAAGGAAGTGAAGCTTTGGAAGGAAGCACCCAGCAAGATTGTCCCTTTCAGGTGGGTACAGTGAGCAGGAGCCAGTGAGGTTGAGATCCTTTGAGAGGAGGCAGCCTTTAACCAGGAAAACTCTGCACTGCATCCTCGCCACACCTTACCCTTGGACAATGGTGCTTGGAGCACCTTCCAGCTCTTATGGCTTGCGATTTCTTTCTCCCGCTCTTCACCCATGATGATTAAATCTTCTCCTACAGAGTTGGACAACAAAGTCTTGATTTCCTGCCTCCCCTGGTGTGATCACGAGGCATAGACATGGCCAGGAACATGTAGGCGTCTTTGAAAGCTGAACAAGTTAGTAAATTTCCAACCTCATTTCACCCACCAGTAAAATGGGAAAATAATAAAACCTATTTTACATAGGGTTGACAGGAGGAGTTAAGAGGGATTCAGTGAAAGTCCATTATTATCATTTGTAGTAGTAGTGTTGATAATATCAACTGAAAGTTCATTATGATTATTAGTAACAGTACTGATAACCCTCTTTTCTGTGCCTTCTCACTGGGGGGCCCAGGCCATCAGCAATGCCCAGGGTGTCATGGATCTCTGTTGCATCGGGCATCAGCTGTACCAATGGTGAGGACAGTGCAAGGGTGGGGATGACAGGGCAAGGCAGGAAGCACCCAGAAGCAGAAGCTTCGTGGGGTGAAGATGGCAGGAGCTTAGGAACAGTCAGAGGGGTGTGCCTTCTCTTGTGGAGGCTTTCTGAGTGGGCAGGACCTGCTGCAGCTGTGGCCATGGATTCACCTGAATATGGATGGAATTAGGCATTCAGCTGCGTTAGCTGTGCCTAGAAGGAGGAACTCTAAATTGAGAACTTGTCCCTATTGCCACCTCTGATCGGCAGATGATCCATCCATCAGTGTCTGAGCTCAGGTGTGCATGGGGGTGGGTAAGAGCCCACACACAGGGCTGATGACTGAGTCTATTTAGAACAACAGATGTAAAATCTGGTAATGTAAAATGTGATAGATTACTTTGTCAATTAGCAATTATACTACGTAATTATATACATACATAAACATAAACACACTCAGTATTGTCCCCTACTCATTCCATAAACCTGATGCCTTTCGCTGGGATTTCCAGCTTTCACTCTCTTCTCTGTCATCTACTCTCTATATTCTCCCCATCCTGTAAATCTGGCTTATATGCCACTTCCTCCCTAAAGGCCTCCCTCAATCCCTTGCTGGAAGTGACATTTTCCTCTTTGAGCTGCCCCTGCCTGTGCTTTGATGAGGTCAGCTATATTACAGTATCTTGTATTGCAGTTGTCACATCATTGTATAGGATTAATTTCTGACACACTCCATATTTTTCAAAGGGCCTAGTGTGGGGCTTTAACAGTAACTACATCACCATGCCTAGCTAATTTTTTGTATTTTTGGTGGAGGTGAGATTTC